ACTGTGGGTATCGACTGCTTCCTACCATTTAATGCTGAAAATCAAACAATTTTATATTCTTTGAAAACTAATATATATATATATATATATATATATATATATATATATATATATATATATATATATATAATATTATATATATATATAACTAAATAAAAACAAACGGCCGTATCAGTTGATGGCTTCACAAACAACCGAAACACTACACGGCTTTTACCTATTACACATTTCCTGGAGTGACCAAACATGTAAATATTTTACCAGTCTTATCTCTACTACTTGAGTCTCGAATTTTTCCCCTTTCTCTCGCTGTGACTCTGTCTACCTCTGTCTTCCTGCCCCCGTCTCTGTTTCTGCTAATTCCTATGTCTTCTGTATCTTTCCATTTCCTCCTCCTCCATTCTTTCTCTCATTCCCTTCATTTATTCTTCCTTTACTTATCCTTCTCCTTTGCCCCTGTCTCTGTGTCTGCTTCTGCCTATTCCTATGTCTCCCATTATCCTTCCATCTCCGCCTCCTCCTTCATTCTTTCTCTCACTCCCTTCACTTATTCTTCCTTTCTTTATCCTTCCCCTCCTCCCCGTTCCTCCCTTTCATTCAAACTACAAACGAGACCTCAAAAGGAAGAAGGAAGAAGGAAGAAGGAGGAATCCGGACATCACGAACAAGGCATGTAATAAGTAGCAAGGAAGACCACACGTCCAGCTGTTAGAGCACATACATGTACTGAGCGACCGGGTCTCGGTAAGGCTGTCACTTCTACTGCTTCCCAAAGCGTATGTAAATGCTTTCTTGCACCCTACCACCAGCGCCTCACTTTCTGCCCCTTCAGCTAGAAATAATAACCGCCTTCATGAATGTTACTTTCATGGTAAAACAAATGTTCTAGTCACTGATGATGAACTTCAGCTCAAGAAGAAAAAATATATTGACTAAGCATGAACATCTGAAATACTTCTAGGACCGATGGATATTGCGTGACCTTTGGGAGGACTTAAACGCAGAGAAAAGTTTGGAGAGGCAGTTTCAAGAAACCTTATGAAGAGTCAAACTCTGTCAGGCTGACATCAAATACTCTAACTTCTGAACTACCATGACGAACCAACATCACAAATTCTTGATTTAGCAAACACAACTCCATTGAATACCAAATGATTAAGAACAATGTGACCTTTTCCGTAACTGGGTAAACACCCAAGAGATAACATAACAGAAATGGCAAACGTCATTTAATAGTAAAAACAGATATCAGTATACGAACAGTAATCCTCCAGTTACTAACAACGCAAATTAATAAACTACAGACAATATCTTAGGACATGACTGACCTAATAAACTTCAAATTACATTACTGGAGCAGAGAACTAATACCACAAAGACATACACTCCACCAAGGCATGTAAAGAGTACACCTTAATAACAAGGAAAAAAATCTAAACATTGAAAATCAACCCTGCTTTCTGATATCTAAATATACAAAGATTTTTTTATTCATCCTTTTCCTCTACACAAAACTGGATATATATTCTTCATTCCCAGGTCATGCCATAAAGTATGAAACAGGCCAATAATATAAGATAACAGTATCAAAGGGTGACTGGCAATATCATAACTATCTGCTCCGACATATGAGGCAACGTCTTGACATTGTTTTCAAAGGCTGAACATATGCTGTGTCTGTTATTGCCCCAGATTTTCTCTTTAATCTCACTACGGCTCATGATTACATAATATGGTTACCTCTCTGCAAGAAGGATTCTACTCCAATTCACTCTGTACTGGCAAGTAGCTTTCCAAGACGGCTGGCATTTAAGAGCTTTAAATATTACTTATGAGGACAATAGAGTAACTTCCCTAGATTAATCATCCAACAGGAGACTAATTAATGAATTACCCATTACTTAAGGCAAGTATGACTACATATTATAATACAGTACTTAAGAGTATAAGTGAACTAAAGACACAACAAGGTGATATCACAAGAATAAATTAACTGATAAGTAGCCAAGTTAACCAACAAGGATAATCAGAACATTCGAAAAAATCATTTTTACATAATGGAAACAAGCAATGGTTAAGGGACAAAATAATCAGAAAAAATAGCTGAAAGAAATAAGAAAACAAACAATAGCTATGGGGCAACCTGCTAAAATCAACACCAGTAGCACCTTATCTCAGACCAACTCTTAACTTATCTTCCAAACTCTAGGGAACCATTTTGCCACTTTTCACCTCTTATCTATTTGGTAAACAAGTCTAGGTTGGTTACATACCGAAATAAGAGGTAAATTCCAATGCTATTTGATAAAGCCTAAGGGAATGTTCAGCCACGTTTCACTTCTTGTCTCATTTCCACAATAAAAAAGATACATACATACATTTAATAGTAATAATAAAAATAGTAATAACAATGATAGAAATGACAATAATAATAATAAAATATATATACATATATACATATACACAATATATACATACATACATACACACACACACACACACACAAAATGCACATTTATTTTGTAACTAGCACCAGATTGTTCTACAAGGTATGTTATGACATGCTCAACTAAAATATGAATTTCTAATTATGGGAAGCCTCACAATACAAGCCAAAATACTGTAACAAAAAAAAAAATAGTGGTAAAGACAATCCTAAAACCAAATAGCAAGATGAAGAAATGTAAAAGAAAAAATGATAAACAAACAAGTAAATAAATACCAATAAATTCAAAGGTGATGGGTTAAACTAGAAAAACATACAATATAGTGTTACTTACTACAAATAAAGGATAGTGCTTTATGTGGTTCCTTTTTCTCAAAATATGGAACCCTTGTTATCAAGTTGCAACAACAGAATTATTAGAACATAACTGAAAGCAAGAATAAGCATAACTATGGAAATTTTGAAACACATTTGAAGGCTAGCATAAGGAGGACATTAATTCAAAAGGAATACCAGAGTCTTCGAACAACCTCATGGACCAAATACATTCAGTTCATAGTAATAATAACAAGCATAATAGTAACTAAAACGATAAAATGATTGCCATACATAAAGGTATATGAATGACGCTCACTATTCTATAAATCAATCTGGAGAAGTGAAGCTCAGTAGCGTGATCAGACGTAGTGAGATCAACATTCTACAGTCTAAGTTACCGTTCCCATTTAGAGATAGCAGGTGCTGGGCTGAGAAATTGTATGTAAGCTCAACTGAAATTTATAATTAGTATAAGGAAGGTAGGGAGGGGGAGGGGAGGGGGGAGGGGAGGGGAGAGGAGAGAGAGGAGAGGAGGAGAGGAGAGGAGAGGAGAGAGAGGAGAGGAGAGGAGAGAGAGGAGAGGAGAGAGAGAGAGGGAGAGAGGAGGAGAGAGAGGAGAGGAGAGGAGAGGAGAGGAGAGAGAGGAGAGGAGAGGAGAGAGACGGAGAGGAGAGAGAGAGAGGAGAGGAGAGGAGAGGAGAGGAGAGGAGAGGAGAGGAGAGGAGAGAGAGAGGAGAGGAGAGGAGAGGAGAGGAGAGGAGAGAGAAAGAAGCCATAATGAATACTCAAAACAACAATATCATATATACAAAAAAAAAAAAAAAAAGGTGACATGGCCTCTAGAATTTGGCAAGACAGAGCTCGTCGATCTCTCTGACAGTTTATCTTCAAGTATGGAATGATTCTAAAATGCCATAGTATCACTTCAAGCAATCTGATATTGAACAACTCTTAAACTTACTTTTCTTTGAATAACACTAATATGAGAAATGGACTTTTTAGTTGTACAAACAGTTATGACCATTCATAAGAGAAGCAGACTACAAAAGACAGAATAACATCAGTTATTTTCTACATTTTTTGTAAGCCTGAATCAACAAAGCTTATCACTTTGAATCATTTATCACAAAACCATTTCTGCAAAGTTAATTTCCTATGAGCCCCCTCTTCTCCCCTAAAAACAATCAACTTTAGAATCAAAGAAATACCTACAATCACATTAAGATGGGTTCATTAACTACTCCAGGTGTGCTACCTTATAATCTACTGTTCCTTTACAATCCCAATGTACAAGCAACGAAGACTTTAAAGTAGATATACCAGTTTCCAAAAAGACTTCTAAACCTGTATCATGATAAAACGACAATCACTGATGAGATATGATAATCATGACTGATGACATGTAAACGACTTTAGTTTCCACACAATTCTTCAATTGAGATTTCATCGGCTTCCCACTTAATCCATTATTTTCTGAAAACAATGACACCACACCCATCGACTCAACACTGTCATGAAAAGAACAAACAGAACTATTTAAAAATCGAGCGATTGACACAGATAAAATAGATTAACGAATTTTTAAATTTAGTATTTAAAAGATAATTCAAAATATAAGGATTGTTTCACACTAATATTTACCAGATTACAAACATTACCTTAGCTGTGTACTCTCGCTGTATGTATCTTCAGGTAACACGTAACAGATAGAAACACATTTGATAAAACGAAATATGACGTCTTTCCGTCGTCTGCCTTGTTTATCTACCTTGACAGATAGAAAAAGTTTTGGCATAATTTTTGAGATGAATCTTGCCTTTTAAGGAATCTTGTTGTAGTAAGAAGGGATTAATATGTATTTTATTGCAATCATCTTTTTTATGAATAATTTACTTTATTATATATTCTTGTTCGTTACGCTGTGAAATGCCATAAATATTTGGGAATTATAGATGTTCTCGTAAGTAAAGCTAATTGCTCAAGGTAGGACTTTTAGGATAAGAAAATTGTTTCTTGTATTCTTCTTGCATAATAAGGAACCATCAATATTTAAAAATAGCTTTTAACTATATCGCAGTATATTATATCTTTCACTCTACATGATATTTTAGCAACATTTAAAAGTACTAATTGAATATAAAATCCCATAAGAACAAATATTATCATACGCTTAATCCGCTTCTTCTATACGAACGCTAATAAACTATAAGTTCCGAGATTTTGCAGACAACACTCG